GAGTGAAATGAAACAAAAAAAAATAATGCTTTCAATTATTAACTCGTTTCTTAGGGTTGAACAAGACAATTTTAACATAACCAAGCTAACTGAGTCATAATAATTTTATTTTTTGTATTATGGGGGGTGTAAAATTAAAGTTCTGTAATTTAATTTTTTTTGTGTAGGAGATTCCACCTCCTATAGTCTTAGGACGCCTTATCTAATGATTCCGTAGTGCAAAATATGGACTTATGACAGATGGTATAACTGTTTGTACGGTGGGAGACCTTTCTCGATCCGCCTAATGCCCCTTCCCACGATCCTGGATTGGTTTCCATCCTTGTTTGTCCTTACTTTTAATCGTTTGACCGTTACGTATATAATTTTTTTCTAGTTCTGGTCATATTACAGGCAAGTTGTTTTAGGGTTTTGAGTTTGGTTAGCTATCCTTTTTTTGTTTTATTCATTTAAATAACGTAAAATGAAACATTATAATAATAATAATAATTATTATTATTATTATTCCTATTATTATTATTATTATTTTATTATTATTATTACATAAATTGTTTTTCTCTTGGAATGGTTCTCAAAGCATAAATGACAGACATTGTTGCAGGAAACAATTAGTATAATTGCTTGGGCTAAGTAGGTGATTAGTAAATATAGGTTATAATGACATGATGACAGACTAATGATGCACTGAAAAGCAGACATTATTATTATTATTATTATTATTATTATTATTATTATTATTTTTGCTAGCTAAGTGTTTAAACCATTTGTTTCCGAATCAAGAACTCAAATACAACTCCTACTTCAGCTTGTCTGGATTTTCCTTGCCAGAGCCACTTTTCAGTGAAAAGTAAAGATTAGTTGAATTCTCTTGAACCAACTCTGTAGATTCAGTGAGTACTCTGTTATTGTTTAGGGAAATTAGATCTCTAATAAAGTCAAGGGTTTAAATTAATTAATTCGGCTTTTATGCGCTCTGATGCCGTTAAATATTACTCAAAATTCACACACACACACACTATATATATATATATATATATATATATATATATATATATATATATATATATATATATATATATATATATATATATATATATATATATATATTATTTTCTTCCCGCAAAGTAACGTTATTTTGTTTTGACTCAACCACTCCATTAGAAAGGGTAACATGTATCTTGTGGGTGTGTGTATGTATATATTAAGATTGTTGTATAACCATTAAAATTATATTAAGTAAATTTGTAATAACAGGAAACGAGGGAATCATAAATAGTGTTCCTTTAACTCGACGATGAGTACATCAAGTCCCTATAACCTATTCGTTGGCCATATTTTTTTTTTTAATTTATTTTGAACACGACCAGATGAGTGTCGGTGCTGCTGCTTTAGCACTATATATCTTGAATTCACTGTATGATTTTTCTATCGCACCCCAATACGCTGAAAAATACCTATAAGGATTAAAGATAATAACTCTGTTTTCAACTCGTGTTGAGTAGGCTAACATAATCCATTGTAACCAAACCTAACCTAATATTGTAATAAATATCTAAAGATATTTTCCTAACTAGGGTGTGTGTGAAATTTAGTATTTACTAAATTCATCATAGCTTTTTATAGTCATGTTTATGCTTCGAGAATGTTTTAGAGGGTATTTAGGACTCCTGTGAATTTCAGAGGATTTTTATCTCGAACTGTATACGGTTACTTTCAAATTTATATGTCCATTATTGATCCTTTTAAAATACTTTTTATTAGGATTATGTAGGCCCACCTTTAGGCATTGATATATCCATTTTTTTAACATTCGAGGACATATTTATTTATTTACTTATTTATTTTAATATATTTTATTTATTGAATTTTAGAACTATATAGCCTTTTTTTGTATAAATTCCTAAGCCTATTCTGATGGGTTGTAAAGACGATGGCTAATTCTCTCTCTCTCTCTCTCTCTCTCTCTCTCTCTCTCTCTCTCTCTCTCTCTCTCTCTCTCTCTCTCTCTCTCTCTCTCTCTCTCTCTCTCTCCTCTCTCTCTTCAAATGACTCGTGTAAGATTTGATTTTTTTTATTTTCTATATTGGCTTAATTGTGATTTCCCCTTATATTTAATGTAAATAATCATCGTACAAGCGAGGCAAAGAGTTTGCTTGTACAAGAATTGAGGTCAAGCAAATGTAAAGTCGAAAGGTTGAGACATTTGAATGCCCACACATACGTATACACACACAAAGCTTTTGGACATTGTGAATCGTTCATCAATCAAGCGTTGATGTAATATTTGGGAATAATTCGAAATAAAGATTCATCGTGAAATATTTTCCACTGGAATTTTAATGTTAGATTTTAATGATGATTTTTATTTACTGTTAATCCTTTCATTTTTTTTTTCATTATAAGTCTTTATTCCTTTTTTCTTCTTCCTCGATTCATTGATGTGGTCACAGTTCGGTGACCCCGAACCAGTGAAAGGCATAGTCGAGAGAGAGAGAGAGAGAGAGAGAGAGAGAGAGAGAGAGAGAGAGAGAGAGAGGAGAGAGAGAGAGAATTTCCCAAGGTTACTAAACCTAAGGGAAAAAGAAGGTGAAGGAAGACAAGCAAAAAAGAGGAAAAAGAGAAAGCTTACGATAAAGACAAGTACATGACACACACACGTGTGTATATATATATATATATATAATATATATATATATATATATATATATATATATATATATATATAGTCAGTCTGTGAGAGAGAGAATATAAACTATTCTTTTGAATCTTCACTAACTTAAAATTTCATTGTAGTTGATAGATAGATTGAAGAATGTTATATATATATATATATATATATATATATATATATATATATATATATATATATATATATATATATATATATATATATATATATATATATATATATATATATATATATGAATAGATGGTTATGTAATTTCTGCAGCATATTGCCTGGCACACTTCCCAAACCAGTTGTAAGGCTATTTTTTTTGTGTTAATACAATACTGCAGTTAGACTTATCAGTAATCAATCACCACCTCTGGCAAAACTTTGATGAGGTTATGTTCATATTAAGCTCCTTTGCATAGGCCTATAGCAATATCTTTGTCGAAAAAAGATGCCTGTAGTATCTCAATGGTAAAGTGCGCATGTCTGGGAAATGGCGCCTAACAAACGCAAGGACGTTAAGAAGGGCATCCATCCTTTATCCCCAATATAGCTCCAACTCGTCTGTGTCAACCACCATTCGAATAAGGCTACCTGTGACCTAAGAAGAAGAAAAAAAGCTTGCATAATACATTATCACTTTTGTTAATATATAACAGACATTTTTACTTAGAAATACAATTTATTCATTTAGGCGCAATTAAAGGTTCTCTAATCACTAAAATTAATATATATATATTATTGACTGCATATGAATTTAAGAAGTCTTTTAACACGAAACAATACATATGACTACTCGTCTCAATGTTTTTACTTTTATTTTTTTCTTTAAAACGAGTTCTCTTATTTTATAAATAAATTAATAAATATATCATTTCTATTTAATATTACTTAGAAATATCAGTGGCCGCCGTGGCCGGGTGGTAGGTCACGAGACTTAGATTCTTCAGGTCGTCGACTCAAGACCCCCTCATGGTCTGAGGTGTGTGTGTTTGTGTGATTGATTTATAAGCTAATTATTTATTTATTTTATTTGTATTCCAGTGATGGTAAATTCCATAAATAAATCAGCGCAAACTATTTATCTTTATGGTGTTAACCGGACCTCATCCTTAACATATATTCGTAATAATAAGTCATTCGTGATAACAGTGACATATCGTGAACGTGATAGACTACTGTCATATCCTGTCAGTTGCGTGTGTCTGTCTGTTTGCGTGTGTGTGTGTGTGTGTGTGTGTGTGTGTGTGTGTGTGTGTGTGTGTGTGTGTGTGTGTGTGTGTGTGTGTGTGTTTTAAGGTAAACTACCGAATATTTATTTTTGGCCATATTGAACCTTGGTTTCCTAAAGATATACTTTCCTACCTTTTTTTTTATGATTGTGACACCAGGACGGGCCAAAAAAAAACAAAAAATAAATAAAACAGCCCTATCGGGCCTGGGCACGAAGAATACATAAAGAGAAACAGAGATGGAGAGTGTAATGACTTGTCAGATGTGAAGGGATAATAAAAGATGTGTGATGAATATCCAAGAATATTCAGTGTAGCTGTAGGCATAGAAAAAGAACCGTAATACTTAATTGTATACTAAGTTATTCTGCAGGATAGATTAGAACTTCCATTTGAGGGAGGCAGTTACCCTCTCCTATTAATTCGGCAAGTGGCTCTGTCAAGAAATATTTTATTGTTCTTTACTTGGAATGTATACATAATATTATCGGCAGATTTTCCGTGTTCATGTGACGTCGCTGTATCTCACTTGCCTCTTAGAGACGAGTGTTGGCTTTCGATCAAAAATTTATGGCCTTACTCCTTTCCTGACACCAACCCACATAGTCAATCTTGGCTTGATTCCGGTACCAAGTTGAGTTTTCTTAGTACAGCAGTTGCTGGATTCATTGGAATATATATATATATATATATATATATATATATATATATATATATATATATATATATATATATATATATATATATATATATATATATATATATATATATATATATATATATATATATATATAATCAAATAAGCACATTACCATATGTGAAAACATGAATAATTTTTACCCCAACCGGGAGTTGAACCTAGTTCTAGGTTCAAGTCCCGGTCGGGATAAAAATTATTCATGTTTTCACACATGGTAATGTGCTTATTTGATTATTGTTGATCCCGAATGAGATTGGGAGTTGAATTAAATGCGAAAACGAAAGCACGAGTGAGGTTGGGGGAAACTGTATTATGAACATAGTGGCATTCAGATAGAATAAGTTCATTCCTAGTATAGCATATATAAGCTGTAAGGTCTGCTTCCCTTTTAATATCTTCTGTGGTGTAGTTGGTAGCGCCTTGGCTTAGTAATTAGCCTATATGTCCCAGGTTCAAGTCCCGGTCGCGGTAAAAACTATATATATATATATATATATATATAATATATATATATATATATATATATATATATATATATATGGTTTTAGGAAGTGAGGTCATAAACCAAATGTAACTGTAATCTGTAATATGGGTGAAGTTCTTTGAAAAGTACAGTCACTCCTCTAAGAAAAAAAAACCATCAAAATATAGTTATTCCAAACACGAATATGAAAGTGAGGAACAGTGTCTGTGGAAGTATATTGTGTAGTTCCCTAAAAACATGTACCTCCTCTTATGTACACAAGAACAGTAACCCTTTGCAAAGGGTATGGTCGTGTCAAAGCACACACCTAGCCACCTTTGTTTCACTTGCTGCTAATACATTCTCATTTTTCCCCTAAATATGATACCAGTCTGGTCCTGTTTATTCTTACTCGTTCCACAACCACCCACATTCAGAGTAGTAGTTACTAGGATTCTGGTTGAAGTTTTCCCTCCAGATCCCATACGTATGTCCTGACTCTTTTCAGAAGGATATTTCGAGGGAGTGCTTCCATTGCCGTCGCTTATTTCTAGCCATTTTTAATTTCAAGTACTTGGCTCTGTGTCATTTTTCTTTTATGAATTACTATATATGATATTAATTTCGTAATCTATGTTACAGTTATTTAGAATCTGAATTCTCTCTCTCTCTCTCTCTCTCTCTCTCTCTCTCTCTCTCTCTCTCTCTCTCTCTCTCTCTCTCTCTCTCTCTCTCTCTCTCTCTCTCTCTCTCAGCTTACCTGTGTATAGTCAGAATATTGTTATTGTAAATATATCTCTAATAGTATTTATAAATCTGTGTGTGATATAGATAATTATGAAATTATCTCAGTTTTTAAGGCGTGAGAGCTAATACTACTAGTACTACTGCTGCTGCTGCTCATAATAATAAACAATAGTAATAATAATAATAATATAGTAATATGAAAACAATAATAATAATAATAATAATAATAATAATAATAATAATGCTATTATTACAATAATTATTATTATTATTATTATTATTATTATTATTATTATTATTATTATTATTATTATTATTTCTTGAAGGAGGGGTTCTAGAGTACTTCCTCTGTGTTCCCCTTCCTGTCGTAAGAGTCGACTAAATGGGCCGGATTGAGGGGCTGGGTATCCCCTCGTCTGTATCGTTTCTTCCAAAAGAGCCTGTGTAGTTTGCCTTGACTCAACCACTCCCCTTTAAAGAGGGAAATTGGCTCATGTATACAGATAATTATTATTATTATTATTATTATTATCTTCATTATGATGTCGGTCATGATAGTTATTTCGCATGGTAACCCCCTTGTTTACCCTGACCCTCCTCCACCTCATTTCAGGGTTAAAAGCATTGGAAGTGAAAGTGAGAAACTTCTTAAGACAACATATTCCTCTGTTTCATGAACTCATTAACGTGACTAATAAACCTATTCAATGGCCTGCTAAAATTTCTAAAGACATTCTTAAGTAAAAATGTACCTTGAGTATTATATATATATATATATATATATATATATATATATATATATATATATATATATATATATATATATATATATATAATTTCAAGTTGGATTTAACTATGTGAGCATAGTAATGTCGGAAAAGTTTCTGCGAGTTCTTACCTATTATTTTGATACAATATTCATTTAGACCAGCAGATAACTCTCTTTAGAAGTTCCTTGGTCATGCAATGAGTTTTATTTATTTCCTTATTTACTGATGTTTTAATACATACATATACAATGTAATGGGAAGGCCGAGTCTGAGCACATATTCATCAGAATCTAATATGCCTCCATCACTCCTCTAATCTCCTAAGGAATAATGGGTTGTCATAATTCCCTCAACCACCCTCTTTCAGTCATCTACAAGGCAAATACTTTGATGATTGGATTTTCATCATGGACTCCCTCTTCTGTGAATATCTTGGACGGTGCCTTCTTTCGAAGGACTTTGGTTTTGGCAGTGTGACCTATAACCTAAGTAAATGTCCTTTTTAACCTCAAACCTACGACCTGACAAAGCAGAGTTGCTCTCGCTGCTACCCATTCACGGAAGCCGCCTTGCGAGGCACATATTTTAATAACTAATATAAACTAGCTTTATATTCAAGCAATAGTAAAGACCTTATGGAGAAAATACATTCTTGCTGCACACCCACATCCACTCTGAGCTTCTGAGGTGTTCCTTGGTATAGGAACGTTGTCCTACTTTCTTGAACTCCTCGAGACTTTCATAAAGCTCATGAGTGGTAATTTCTTTAATAATGAATCGTGTTTTGTGTAAAGGGAAAAGAGAGACAGCACATTATTTTTGTCTGTATGCGGAAGTAGGTCTGTTGAACATGCACTGGGCTCCGTCATGCCATCGCGTGATTTGACGTCTATTTATGAGGAATGTACGGTATGTATTACTCTGTAATTGATTGGGTTCTGTTCATATACCCCAAGAGACTACAAAGAAATTGAAGTTTTTTTTGTTTTTTAAACCGGTCATTGTATTTGCATGTTCTGCCGTCATGAAAATAGTATTCTTGTAGGAAGGCTAAATCATAATTTATTTTCACGTTTACTACGTGTGTGCGCTTTTGTGTATGTGCGTGTCTGCCATACAGCAAGAACATATTACGTACACGCGTATACTGTTGTACTTCTTATGACTGTCGGTACGCTTTTATATCATGCCCATTCCGTTGTCTATTCGAGTATATATTGTAAACATAATGTATAATTTTTGAAATAAAGTTGTTTTAAAATTATAATAATCATTATTATAATTATAATTATGTTGTTGTTGTTGTTGCTATTTAATTCTCTATCTATATATCTATCTATTTATCTATCTATCTATCTATCTATCTATTTCTGTCTCTATCCCTGTCTGAGTTCTGGTTTTAGTCAATATTCAATTTTTTCATATGTCAGGATGTCAGGTTTCACGTTGATTTTTACGTCACCTGTCATGTTTGGGATATTCTGATTGCTATGTTGTCTAGTCGGAGTTTATATGTTGAACTATATATATTTCTACATGCCACTGAGAGAGAGAGAGAGAGAGAGAGAGAGAGAGAGAGAGAGAGAGAGAGTTTTCCCTGCTCTAAACTAACCAATCATTGCTCTATAAGTTTTATAGTTTCCTGTACATGACCGTTCGTCGCTGGCTCATGGCCACAGCATAGCCTAATTCTGACTCCGGCTAAAATCCATCATCTGTAAATTCCTTTGTTTACAAGACATGAAATTTGTGTAAAAAAAAAAGAAAATCGTGTTTAATTTTTTTTATCCAGTTGCTCGGGCCATAGAATTTGAGAAAAACTTAATTGTGGTATATTCGTGCTCCAGGTGTTCAGCTTTAATTTTAATTGTTACGGTAGGATTAAAGCATAGTCTAAGGTCAGTCCAGCAGCTCTGTATGTTTTTCCCCCTTTGTGACCCAGCAGTTCTGCGTTTAAAACTTATATTCTTAGTAGTTTAGCTTTAGTTTTCCATATTTTACTATTCAGTTCTTATTTTGTTACTACTGCTGCTACGACGACTGCTACTACTACTACTACTACAGCTGCTTCTACTTCTACTAATAAAAAAAAAGGGTGAATGAATTTCCTCTCCCCAGCTCGAGTAGATTACCGGCGTGGCTATGCATTTGTTAATTAAATTAATTGGTGTTGTGACATTTATTCAGCCTTTCGAGCATACTGTCTCTTTCAGTATAGTTTATTAATACTACTATAGCCATTTCTTTACTAAGGAGGCTTCTCTCCTGCAGCTTTTTGTTGGTTAGTTAGAATTCCCATGTGGCCCCCTGGCACTGCGGGAAGAAGATGCTGGTGAATCAGGGGAAAAAACGACCTTCGAAGGAGAGATACTAAAGCAAATGGCTTTTCTATTATTATTATTATTATTATTATAATTATTATTATTATTATTATTATTATTATTATTATTGTTGTTGTTGTTGCTCTATAATAGCTCTTTTATTCTCTAACCCTTTCCTTCTTCCCCATATCCTTTGTCTCGTGTAAATGTATTGATAAAATTGCTGTCTCATCTCATAAATAACTGTTAATATCCCTCGTTGTGTTTGTTTGTCTCGTGGTGAATTCCTTAACGCTTATTGAGCCACTCTCTATACATACGGACGGCGTTCTTAGGGCAGTCAGCTGGGCACATTTTGTTTTTTGTGATATACAGTTGTCTCAGTCCTTAACTTTTCATTAACGCTCATAGAATAACACTTACGTTGTCGGGGAGCCGAATGAGTTGTGATGTCAGAGCGGTCTGTATACGCTACTATAAATACAGAAGGAAATAAAAAGTTTACGATTTTGTTAAAAGACTAGGCCACATAGCAGAGAATTAAATTTCGCGTTATGTGACAAATTTTCTATATCCATTTTCATTTCTTTATTTAAATAATATTGGACTTGGGAAAGACGCTACATCCGTTTCCTAAACTCCTGACAACTTATGAAGCCTACAGATTACGCCATTAAAGAAAGATAACAGACCTTAGCGAGACAAATTACGCTTAGACCCTACGGACGCATATTTGTATACCTCAGGCCTGTATCTCCTCGTATTATTCAGCTTATACTCACACATTTACTCACAGTCGATGTTCTGGAAGAGGCCTCTAGGCCTGTGTATCCAGCTCTCTATTATTGGCTGAATTTGCTAATACTCCGGTATTACTGCTTCCGAGTTCTTGATTAATATAAATATTGTTACAACTAGCTTTAGGAATGCATAGTAGTTTTCGTGTTAAAATTTTTCCTGTATTCTCTGTGGGATCTGAGAATTCCCCCACGGATAGTTCCAGTTGTTGCAAACACACGTGGTACGCGCTGAGAACTCTTATTCAACCTCATTTTTCCTTATTCGTTCTCCTACCTTACTTTTTCCTCTGCACTGGTCTCTCTCTTCGTTATTCCTTTTACATCATATCTTTATTTATTCCTTAATTCCGCTATTCCTTCCTCCTGCTCCTCC